ACAACTAATGAATGTGTATATCGTTTACTTTTTAACTTTTCTACTTTGATATAAAGAACACCATAGTATCTCTTTGTTACAGAGATGTCACACATAAATAATAATCAAAATGATTCTTTTAAAATGGGGTAAAAACTACAGTACTCGCAAAAATTATATTAACATAGTTATGTATTTGTGTTGGAAGCCAATATACAAAAAAGAAAGTGAAAAAAAAAAAAAAAAACTTCTTGGACTTTCTTTAGTTTTCATGCCTAGTGGTTGGTTGACTGGTTTGTATTGAAAAGGGTAGTATAATCTTTGGAATTAACGCATTGAGTAAAGACTTGTTTTTTTTTTGGATTAGAACATTGAGTAAAGACATCGATTAGAAGAGACTTATTTTCATGCCTAGAGGTGCCCATTTTTGCCGACTTTTTCTTCCATTCCGTTATTCATATCTTTGGAAATATCGAGTACAATAACTTAATTTTCTTATTATCTCTATATTCGTTTTAAGTATTTCTTAAAATCAAATAAATTAGGTCATTATTTATAGAAAGAGATTTCTTTTCTAAACTCTCTGAGGACAAATATTTTCTTTATCTGTAACGTAGTCTATATGGAAAAATAGATTTGTTTTTCGGGTCAATAAAATTTAATGCGATGTCGAAACTGGCCGTTACAACAGAAAGATACAAAAAAAAGATAAAATTTGAAATCAACGGAGAATCTCTTCTTCTTTTTTCTCCTAACAGATATAATAAGGGAATTAATTTGTTTTTGTCGTAATAAGGGTATTTATTTATTAGTGACAGTTTTCAAATTTATACGTCTCTTAACAAAAATATCATATACGCAAATTGCCAAAACTTGTTCGTCATCTCTCGCTACCATCAATCGGATAAACATATATCACAAGAAAAATTATACGAACAATTAATTTATAATCTCACACTTATTTATATTTATGGATATTTCCAAACACCACTAGAACTTCTACTCCTAATCTTGTGGGTTAGGCCGTGTTTGGCTCCACAACTCCACAAGATCAAACCCATTAGAAAAGAAAGGAAAAACAAAACAAAAAGAAGAAACTAAATATGAAACGCAAATTTTTACACCCCGTTTGCTTGCTTGCATCATCATCATCATCAAGCTCTAAAACATCCAACAAGATGATTATGACTTTGATTATGACGATGATCATGATGGTTGTTGTGGTAATTAACCGATCTCTCTCTGTTGATCATGTCTTGAACATATCGAAAAACTTGCACGTGGCAAGGGATTGTGATGGTACCTTTCTGCTCGAATCCATACTCTTCCTCTGCTTCCCTTAGGAGTTGCATGAACAATGGATGGTTAAAATAAAAAACAGGAACAACAAATCTCTGTTTCTCCTCTTCTTTTGATCCCACTTTGATTGCTAAACACCCTTTTGGCACATCTTTGATCCCATGTTTGCTATTGCTTTTCACGTTATTGGAACGGTTTGAATGGACGCTCTTGAGGATTTTTTCTCCGGAACCCATTACTCCGAAGACGATGAAGAAATAAGAAGAGTAAGAGGGAACAAAATTTCTAGAGAACGGGAGAGAAAGGCCAAGGGTCTCTACTAGTGGAGGTGGAGAGAATTTAAGAGACCTTTATAAAGTTGTTTATTTTTTACAGAATTTGGATTTAATGAGTGGAATAAAAAGGTCAAAACTCAATAAAAGGAGATGTTTTTAAAAAGGAAATCGTAATATATAATTTTAAAAACATACCTTTATTATTACATATGTTGATCACAAAATCTTTACAGAGAATTTCAGTAATCACTTTTGGTAAATCAATTTAGTAGTTGACCAGAAGAAAAGATCCAACAAATTAACAAAATTTATTGGAAAATGTATTCTACATCTCTACTGATAATAAATAATAATCAATAGCATATTTTTTCATTTTATTTATATGGGCACAATATTTAAGATGACAGTCATAGATATAATTTTAAACTAAATTAAATGAGAATATCCATTTCGCAATTAAAAGAAACTTGGTTGTAACTTAGGATTGCAGTATGGATATTTTTACATTTCGGATATGCATCATTTAATAACAATCCACTTTGGTACTTTTATATTTTAAATTAATTGTGAGGAAAAAAAAACAATATAGGGAAACGCAAGTAGAGAGACACCATTTGCATTTGTTTTTAGTTAACAAAAACCAGACACTTGCAAATATTTCATCTGATACACAAAGACAAGTAAATTAATAAATTTGATACGTGGAATAATCATCATTATAACTTGCATTTGCGTTGTAGTTAGTTATAAAAAAAATAGAAAAGGTGTTGTCTGTTGATGAATGTGTATATGTGAAGAACAAGAAGAATCAACGTCAGGACATGCCCACGTATGGATGTCATTTAATAACATATGTCCTTAGTCATCGACTTATTCAGACGATATCGACGAGTAATCGTTCAAACAAATTTTATTTTCTTATTTGGTTAAAGGTTTAGAAAATCTGTCCCTAAAGAAAGAGTTAACCAGTCATATATAATTACATATATATTTAATTTGTGCAAAATTTAATGAATTTAAATTTTGTATAGTAAACATAATTTTCTGAGCTTTCAAGGGCTGCCTAAATACTTCCAAGAATTTAAGTGATAGAGTTGGCCGAAAACAAACTGATCACAACTGAAATTTTGTGGACAGTATATTTAAGCAAATACAAATGTTTTAGGTTCGTGTTTGATTCATTTTCATGATTAACGGTTTGGTTCACCTTTGTATGCTACTTAAACTTTATTCTTAATAGTGATTATAAAAATATTCTACCAATTACCATAAGGAAAGATAAAATAATAGTTGTGTTTTGGAAGAAAGTATAAATGAAAAAGAGTTTACAAATGTATGATGGACACAAAAGAAGAAAAAGGACCGTTCCAAGTTGGTGATGGGGAAGCTTCTTCACATCTGGAACTTATTATGAAAACATATAATTAATTATGAACGATTAGCTGTTTAAGGGCTATAAAATCAGATGATCGTTTAAGTTTTATACTAGCAAAAAATTTCATCGATACAATATCAATAAATTACACAATTTGGAGGTCGATACCACAAAATAAAATAAAATGAAGCATCTTTTCTGGATTTGTGTATGCGAATTACAAAAATACGAAATATTTGTTCGAGACAACAAATTTCCAAGAAAATAACTCAACCCTATGGCCAAATGGGCGATGTGAAATTAATTAGGCCCACTCAATGGGCCGAACTGGGCCTTCATTTTCACTTAAAATGTCCAAATCTGAAGTTCCAGTTACCAAATGTTTCGAAATCTTGTTGATAAGTTGATCATTTATTACCTCCAATGTGGTTAATCATGGGATAGAAATAGTTTTTTCTTCATCAGAAGCAAAATCTATCAGAAAACATTTCCCGTACATAGATGAAACTATTAGTTAATGTATTTCTTCAAAAATTATTCAAAAAAGTTGCAGAATAATTAATAATGCGTCACGAATCTCACGATCGATGTAAAGAAAAAATAAATGTAATGGAATGAAGAATTAAATTTGACATCAAATCCTAGAGGTAGCTACTAGTAAGACGGACACTGAAACCGTAGATAGAAGAAACGAGGTCAAAGTCGTCGTTAATAAAGAACATAGTAACTTGTTAAAAGCAAACAAAGTCAAAAAAGACAAAATGTAAGAGTCATGGTAATTTGTGTAATCACTCACTAGTGAAAAGATAACTTTTGGAAATCAAAAAGCAGTTTTTCTTATACAATAAAACTTTAATTTCTTTCACAATTTCTTTAGATTGGTGTACATTTTCAGTATTCATCCTTTAATTTATTATCTTCTTTTTTTTCTTTTCTGCTCCAGTGAAATGTCTAAAATAAAACATTCCTTCGTTCCTACACTTTATATCCGTTCACTTCGTAAATTTTCACTTTTTCACAGAGGATATGATATGAAAACCAAAGAGTTTCACTTCCTCTTCCACACTACATTTCACCAAACGTGCAACAAATTGTAATTTCTTAACATAAATGTTGATTATTGGATTTGACGACTTGATTCTTACCTTCAATGTGGTTGATTTAGATTGGTTTATAGCATACAAGTAATAAAAATAGTTTTCACAAACAGTACGATTCACTACGATGTCTTTGTTTCTAATTTACATGAGAAATATATATAAGCACCACCAAAAACTGTTTAAGATGGATCCACTATGTAAATAAAGATCAGCTATACATTGACATATATTGGTATAATTAAGATAGAACAGCTAATCCGATGTTATTACATTTTCAATATTGCAAAATGAGACAAAATCTGATCACAGTTTCTTCATCTTCCATGCTTGAAGTAACTGCTGAAGACAAAATGCGAGTGTGGATAGAACAATAACAATCAACCAGAGAAAGAAGAAAGAAAAATATGAGAATCTATAAATATAAAGTATTAAATCTTTGAAGTAATGTAATGACGAAACCCTAAGGCTAATAGTTGTACTAACAAGAAACATAAATATAGCAGTAGTTTGAAAGACTCAGATCTACTAGCTTCAGATCTAGCAGATCTGGTTTGATTTTTTAGAAACAAACGGATCTGAAAGTAAATAACCCTAATCATTAATCATGACCAGGAATAGATTTAGTCTCTCTGAATGCTAACTTGTCCTGACATCATAAAAAAAAAAAAAATCATTACAAAATCATAGCTAGAGAAAAAGTTAGTAATGATGATAGACTTTTTAGTTTCTCACATGAGTCAGACTCCTTCATCATTACACCAATCTGTTTAAAAAAAAAATCAAACCCACCTGAAACTCAGAAGATCTTGAAGACCTACAAAAATAATTGAGTCAGAGAAAGAGTTAAAGATCGAACTAAGTTTTACACTGAATTATTGAAATATATCACATGGATTCATAGATAGAAACCCTAGATCAAAAGTTGAAAATGGACAAATCTTCTTCGTTAATTCGGATTGTGAGGGAGTGATAATTGGGGGGAATGAAGCCTGGTCCGACGACACTAAAACCCTAATCAATCATCAGATCTGAATGTATTCAAATGAGATTGTATTAGAATAAGAGTCCTCGAGCCAGACAACAGTCCCCTCAAAAGAAAAACCCCTCTTTAAATCCTCTTCTTCTTCTTCTTTAAGAAACAGACCTTTTTCTATTAGGGTTTTTTCAAGAAATTTCTTATATATTTTCTATCTCTCATGTGCTCGTCCCCCAACAGATCCGGCTGAGATCAAGGAAGAGACAGAGAGAGAGAGAAAGAGAGAGATGAATGTGGTGATGATGAAGAGAATGATGAGAAGGATAAGTGAAGAAGAGGTTTTTAAGAAGAGAAAAAAACTCAAGAGAGTAAGTAAGTGGAGAGAGAGCCAAAGCTATACAAGACAAAATAAACATGGGTTCTGGGTGGCTGGGTCCCATATCTATTTACTTTGTGAATATTTTGTATTTATGTTTTGGTCAAACAGTGTAAAAATATTTCAAGTTTCAAGATTTTCAACGTAAACATTTGGATTTACTTTTTGAGACATGTCAATGGATTTCTCATTTTACCATGGTTTTTACTTGTTAAAGTAAAATCACGAACGTAGTAGTCCATACCCTATCAGTTTTCCTTTCACGCCCATAATTTCTAAGATTTTTTCATTTACTGATTTACTTTGGCTTTGCGACGATTTGACCAAATCAAAGGGGAAAAACAAGGAAGATGATAATCAGTGACCGTGAAAAGGAAACCAAAAAGGGATCAAGGTAAAAGAGAACGATCAAATCACAAAAATAAAGATGGAATAGTAATATTATTAGTCTTTAGTGTAGTAATAGAGAAGAAATGGAAAAGGGAATCAAAAAGAGAAAAGAGGGCTGTCTATAAAAGTTAGTCAGGGGAGTGGTTGAGTTATTGATCTGCCCAATATTACCATTCTTCATTTATTGTCTCTCAACCTTTTTTTTAATCCCATTTTCTTTCTCCTTTCTAGTAATGAAAATTAATATTCGCCATCGTTTCTTTATAATTCTTCTGTTCCATTCAACTTTTTTTTGTATAAGATAAAAATAGCTGTAAAAAAAAAAGTATTCCCTCTGTTTCTAATTAAGTGTAGTTTAAAGGTTTTTTTTTTTTTTTAATATAAATGTTGTTTTCACTTTTCTATGCAAACTTTAAATGTATTTAATAGTTTTTAATTAATTATATTTTACATCAAATTTTTTTATTGGTTGAATTAGTTGTAATTAATGATGTTTTATAGAAAATAGATAAATTAAATGAAATTTATATGTTTTCTTAATTTGTATGCAAAAACCTTAAACTACAAATATTCAGAAACAAAGAAAAAACATCGTCTTTTTCTATTGCCTTAGTATATTTTGTACTAAATATTGGTACGGAGTTACACTTAAAAATATTGGTAAATCAGTATAGATAGGAGAATTAAATTTCCTACATTTATTAATTATACTGGCAGTTAGTTACACATAACAAAACTTAACTAGTGAAACAAAAATAAAATAAAATAATTAACTAGTGTCAGCAAAATCTACTTCAAATATCACTATACTGTAATTATTCTAAAAACGGGGAACACAGAAAAAGGTACTTTTCGAAGAATTCCTTTCAGCTAGAACAAAAAGTCTTTCCTTTTGTCAACCAAACCAATATCGATATGTTTGTATTTGTGCATTTTTAAAAAAAACGAATAATACGATCACCCAGCCAGCTGTAATATTATAGATTCAAAAATATTTTTATATAGAAGATTCAAAGTTAATTTAACTTAAATCATATGAAATCATCTGATGACCGTTGTGGTGAAATGTTTTGTTTGGGTTTTAAAAGATCTTCTTGAAACTCGATATATATACTAGTATATTATTTCATACGGAAAAGGTCTTAACGTATTTATTGTTTTGTACATCACCAAATATGAAATATATACAGAAGAAAATATTTTTAATGTTTTAAAATAAAGATTGTAGCTTTAGCTAGAGAGTGCCCGCGACATGTGCTGAAACATTTTGTTAGTTTCCTAGTGTCCAAGAAACCTAATGAAATCTCCTCGTAATATATAAACAGCGAAATCTATATTAAAATTTACTGCAGCAAAAAAATTAATTGAGTATAGATTCTATGGTCTATAATTCAAATCTATGGTCAGAAATTTTAGTTCTATTTAAACCAAAAACTAACATAGAGATGAAATATCTGCAAATTCATGTATGTGTTATAAAAAAAAAAAAAACAGGTATATGATATCTTCATAGCTACATATGATTCGGTTTTCAATATGTTTCAAGTTGTCAACGAAAGTTTCGAGATTATCGAGTCACTTATACAGGTATGTACAAAAGAATGAAATGCATGCGTATGTTAGTGTAAGCGTGGAGTAATACGTAGACTGTGCATGAGAATGACAAATGGAGAAGACGATTCTTAGCTCCAATTTCAACGTTGTTGACAGTCTTCGAGAGATGTGTAATGTGTTGTATCTTGGAAGAGAGAAACAAAGAGGAAAACGTCAAATCCCCACGTTGTCCCACTCCTACATTCCTTTTCATTTTCAAAAGCAAATAATTATACATCTTTTAGTATGCTAATATCAATTATATATTGAATCTCTTAACAGAGGAAACAAAAATTATTGAATCTCTTAACTTACACCAATTATATATTGAATCTCTTACACATAATTTGTGGAAAAAGTATATTCCCTTCTGTCAAGAATTGTGAATTCGTTCCAAAATATGACATCAAAATTAGTAGGAAACTTTTACGTTTTTATCTAAGTCCCACTTTTACATCATGCGTTATAAATTGCCCACAACATAAATGAAATTTTAAGACAAAAAAAAACATAGATTGTTTAATAAAAAAAATGTTTTGCCGACTTGGGCATTATGGCTTTTTGAAATTTCAAAATATCACCTACAACAATATAAGTAATTTGAATTTCGATTTACAGTTAAAATGTGGAAGTAGGACCAAAAGAAAATAAGATTTTAATGTAAGTATATACATATATATATATATATAACTTAATTCTGTAAGAACCAATTTTTTATATTGTGTACAATTGAAACACGTATAATTGTCAAACTTTAATTTGTATTATGTTTACATATACAAACTACTACTAATATATAAATTCTGGTCCTTAACGAGCTTTTGCAGTAGTTTAATCTGCAACAATTCCCAAATAAACCAATTAAGAGGAAAGTGCATAAATAAATAGGGTAGGGGTAGCATTGTAATTAGGGAAAAGAGAAAGAGCGAGAGTACAATAGCATTTAATGCCTCTTTGTTCGTATTCTCTGCCATCTTCTTTCTCTCATTAATTACTCCTTCTGCTCTCTCGTCTCAGATTCCAAACTCATTTAAATAGCTTTTTTATTTGTACCTAATTCATTTGATTATTAGTATGTCTTTTGCGGTCACAATGAAAACACTTTGAAATTTTTCATAAGAAACATTCAAAGGTCTTTTGATAAGACGCTTGTCATAGCTTTTTTTTTACTGTTCTTCTTACTATGTCCTCTAAAAATTTCCATCACTTTCATATTAGACTTGTCTCCTTTTTATATAACAAGCATATCTACATAACAGTACACTATTTGTAATACAAAGCCCATTTTGTGGAAAAAAATAAAAAATAAAATACAAAGCCCATTCTTGCTATCAAAGAAAACTTGTACAATTGGTCCAGAAGGTCTAAATGGGCTTTTAATTCTAGTAGCTTCTTATTTGGGCCTTCTAGTTCTGATATGGTCCGAATTCAAGAAAGAACCAAACTCGATTTTAAAGATGTGTTGCTGACATTCAGAACTTTCATTCACACACTGGCAAACGCATCCTAACGGTCAATTTATAAATCTTGTCATTAGATATCATGACAGAAAAAAATGTTTCAATTTTTCTAGTAAATGTTTATTTCTAGACTACCATTATAGTAACATGAAGAAAATTACACGATCTATCTACACGACGAACATTCCGTTTTTATACAAGTAACCAACTCAGCGGCATATGTAATAACAAATTACGATCTGGATGAATCCGAAGGTTCCTCAATTAGTAGTTTTTTTTTTCGTTAAAAGATTCCTCAATTATTAGTTAAATAAGTAGCGAAAGATTGTTGGCCGTTAGAGTTTCGCGTGATGGAGAGTTTAATCTTAAAGTATACTCTATATAGTTTGCAAATAACAACATCAATAAACTAATGAGTGAATTCATCAAAAGTTCTTTTTATAAGTTCTTTTCATTTTTGATATAATTTCTGTAAAGGTTATTATCATCACATATAATTTGTTTTTTAGGACGGTGGTAAAATAAATGTCTCTTCCTCATTGGATTGGCATCTTATCATGGACCCTACTTGTCTTGAATAAGTTGGATCATATTCATTTCATCAATTTTTTTTCTTTTCATTTCATCGTTTTTCAGATGTATTTATTTATACATGGTATTTATGGTAAGCTTAATGATCACTTATTTATTTTCACAAAATCGAGGTTTTAGTATCATTTTCGAATGACAGTTTGTGCTATTTTAGCCAGTAGTTCATCATAATTAACAGCCTAAACATTACCTGTATGTATTTTCATATACATTAACTGAAATTTAAGCTTTACGAAGAATGTGCATATTTATGAATCTGTGAATATTTCAAAAGCTTTACACGCGGCAAGGCCAAGAGGTTGGAAGAATATGCAAAATACAAACATGAAATGACAAGGCGCCTTTAAAACTAAATAATTAAACAAATATGACTTTAGAAGGCTCTTATAGTCTTATGTATATGTTCTGTTAAATTTATCCAAATTAAATGAGCCAAAACTACGTTTAGTAAGTATTAGAAATCATAGCCAAGTTGTAAATCTAATTAAAGAGGACGAAATTTGATTTCTTAAGTTTTATTTCTCAAAACCATATTACTAGTTTAATCTTTATCATTAAACAGAACCAGATTTCTCTTAGACAAATGAAAGAAAAAATAGAAGTAAAGAATCATCTTCTCTTACGCATCTTATCAAGAACTGCTACATTTAAGCTAACCTCGACACGTGATAACATTTGTCGGACGCAATTTTCATACACAGCCACAAA